CGGGTGGGGGGGGCGCTGCTCCAGCCACAGCTTAAGGGCTTGAAATAGCATCATGGAATCCCAGACTGGTTGGGGCTGGGAGGGACCTTCAAGATCATCCAGTTCCAACCCCCTGCATGGGCAGGGACACCTCCCACCAGCCCAGGTTGCTCCAAGCCCCATCCAACCTGCCCTTCAACACTGCCAGGGATGGGGCAGCCACAGCTTCTCTGGGCAACCTGTTCAGTGTCTCACCACCCCCACAGTGAAGAATTTCTTCTAAATATCTAACCTGAATCTTCCCTCTCCCAGCTGAAGGCCATTCCTCCTTCTCCTGTCACTCCCTGCCCTTATAAAACATCCCTCCTTCCCAGTTTTCTTCTTCTCATTTATGACATTAAGAATTCCCTCATGATCCCAGGTTTCCCTTTCCCACTAGTACTGAGCAAAGGGGCTGATGATGCAGGAGAAAAGGGACAATTTTTTTCAGGCTGGTCCTTTCTTCCCTAAACATCCCTGTCCCCTCTGGGACCTTGCCCAGACACGGAGCCAATGGCACCTCCATGAATGTCCCTTGCTTGGTGGGGCAGGGGAATAACAAACTTTAGAGCTAAGGAACCTTGCCTGCTGAAGCTCCCAGGTGTGTGGGAGGACTCCTTGGTGCTGCAGGTGGGATCTCAGTGCTTGGCTCAGGGTGGAGAAGCCCAGCACGTGGGCAGCAGGGATGTGTGGGTGGACGTGCTCCATCTCCATCCTGGAGCAGCCAGGCCAGGCTGGGTCTGACTCCCACAGCCAGCAATTCCTGGCTTTGCAGCTTCTCCCACCTGTCACCTCTGTCCCTCCGTGTCACCACAGGGCTGGACACATCCACCATCACTTCCTTCACCACCTCGGTGGCCCTGGACTATGAAGAGACACTCACTGCCACAGCCACAGGTAGGAGGTCAGCAGCCACCTTGTGCTGGAGCTGGGGGCTCCTTGGGGGGGGGCAACTGTGCCCTCTGTGTTCTCTGGGACCCCAGCATGATGTCCCACCACATATGGGTGAGGCTTGGGGGTGAGGGGGGCACACATTGCCCATGGCAGAAGCTTGCCAAGGGGCCACCTCTGTGCTGGAGACCCCTGGCAGCAGGCAGACTGGGGGCACTGGGTGCTGGAGATGTTCTCCCCCCCCATGCCCACGTGTCCCCGTGCTTATCCCAGCAGTGACAGACAGTGGAGACCAGCCCTCCCAGGCCACCGAGGTGGTCACCACCACCCTCCTCACTGTGGAGCAGGAAAGTAAGTGTCCCTTGTCAAGGACAAGGAGCCCTTGTCCTCAGGATGTCCCCCAACTCCCCAGGGTTCCCTTATGGCCCCAGGAGCACCCCAGGGAACTCTTCCCCCTGGGATAACCCCACATCCCCAGGGCTCACGTCCCCAAGGTCTCACCCCACATCCCCAGGGGTTCACCTCAGAACTCCAAGGTCTCACCCCATGTCCCCAGAAGGTTGCTCCTGTGTCCCCAGGGGTTACCCCATACCCCAGGGTATCACCCCATGCCCTCAGCGGGTTGTTCCCATGTCCCCAGGGGCTCACCCCACGTTCCCAAGACCTCACCCCCACATCCCCAAGACCTCAACCCACGTTCCCAGTGTCTCACCTCATGTCCCCAGGGGCTCACCCCACATCCCCAAGACCTCACCCCATATTCCCAAGCTCTCACCCCACATCCCCAGTGCTCACCTCATGTTCCAAATTCCTTACCCCACGTCCCCAAGACCTCACCCCATGTCCCCAGGGTCTCACCCCACATCCCCAAGACCTCACCCCATATTCCCAAGCTCTCACCCCACATCCCCAGCACTCACCCCATGTCCCCAGGGTCTCACCCCACATCCCCAGTGCTCACCCCATGTCCCCAGGGCCTCACCCCATGTTTTCAAGCTCTCACCCCACATCCCCAGCGCTCACCCCATGTCCTCAGTGCTCACCCCACGTTCCCAAGGTCTTAACCCACATCCCCAAGACCTCACCCCATGTTCCCAGTGTCTAACCCCATGTCCCCAGGGTCTCACCCCACATTCCCAAGGTCTCACCCCACATCCTCAAGACCTAATCCCACATCCCCAGTGTTCACCCCATGTCCCCAGGGTCTCACCCCACATTCCCAAGGTCTCACTCCATGTCCCCAAGACCTCACCCCACATCCCCAGTGCTCACCTCATATTCCCAAGGTCTCACCCCATGTCCCCAGGGTCTCACCCCACATCCCCAAGACCTTACCCCATGTTCCCAAGCTCTCACCCCACATCCCCAGCACTCACCCCATGTCCCCAGGGTCTCACCCCACATCCCCAGCACTCACCCCATGTCCCCAGGGTCTCACCCCACATCCCCAGTGCTCACTCCATGTCCCCAGGGTCTCACCCCACATCCCCAAGACCTTACCCCATGTTCCCAAGCTCTCACCCCACATCCCCAGCACTCACCCCATGTCCCCAGGGTCTCACCCCACATCCCCAGTGCTCAC